TTCAACGCCTTCCTACTCCCCGATCTCGAGAGGCCCTCCAGGACCTCGAGGACCTCGAAGGGGGAGCTCGAGGAGAGCTCGGGGGCGATCTCGAGGGGAGCTCGGGGGGAGCTCGAAGACCTCGGGGAGCTCGAGGGGAGTTCGAGGGGACGATGCCGACCTCGATGCCGGCGGCGACGGCGACGGCGACGTCGGCGACGGCAGCGGCGTTGCCAGGCTGCGGGGGCCTCGGGGCTGGCGGCTCGTCGGGCGGCGGCGGCGGCATCTTCGGGGCGCCGGCGGCGCCGAGCGGAGCCGCCCCCCTGCCGCCGCTGCTGCCGCCGCTGCCGCTCCCGCTGCTGCTGCTGCTGCTGCTGCTGCTGCTGCTGCTGCTGCTGCTGCTGCTGCTGCTGCTGCTGCTGCTACATGGGCCCGCCAGGAAGGAGAGGGGGCCTGAGGGAGATGTCTCTGTCTCCAACGATCCCATGTGTGCAATTCCATAGTTTTCCTTCGATTTCGGCCTCAATGGCCAGTCATCGGGTCCCAGGGCCATCAAATATATGGATCCGGGCCGAAAAATCACTCCTGGGGAGGCGGTCGGGAATTGTAGGGCTCTGGGATGGAAAAAACATCGGAGGATGTCAGGGTGGGTCCTAAGGTTTTTCGCTGTTGCCTTGCTCCCCAGGGCCCTCAGGCTATCAGATTAAGGCTCGGAATGAATAGCAGGTCTTCTCTCCCCCTCCTCCCCCTGCTCAGGGGAGGGGTTTACCCCTGGGCCTGGGAGGGGGGGGGGGGACCAGGTTGTTAGAGTTTCAAAATGCGCCCAAGATGGCTCCAAGAGGGCCATCGGCAGCCCAAGACGGCATCCAAGATGGCTCAAGATACCGAAGATGGTTCAATATAGCCTCCTATATAGCTCAAAGAGGCTCCAAGACAAACCCAAGACGGTTCCAAGTACCCTTCGAGGAAGGCGCCCTCCAAGACGCGATAAGATTTCAAAGACCTAGGGAAGATCGATGCTTGTTGCCTTCTCGTTGTTTCGTTTCCGAAGGGCTTGTGAGGCCTCAAGATGGCCCCAAGATGGACCAAGATCGGGGGAGCGTAAGACCCGGGTTTGCCGGGACTCGGGTTCGCCATTTTTTTTTTGACGACCGCGACTCGGATTTTGACGAGGAGGAGTTTCGTGGGATGTCTGCAGCGGGAGGCCTCGTCAAAATGCAGGCTCGGCCTCGTCATTTTTTTGACGACCTCGTCGGGGATTTCCGAGTCACCCGTACCCGGGTCTTACGTCTCCCCGACAAGAGAGCCCCAAGAGGGGCTCAAGAGCGCCCCAAATGGCACTCAGAGCGCCCAAGAGACACCCAAGACCGGCCCGAGACGACCCCAAGACGTACTGTTTGAGTCTCCGAGGCGGCGACCTGCATTCTCCCCCCCCCTTTTTGAGCCATAAGGGCCAAGTGGCCTCCCAGATCCTTCCAATGAGCCACAAGATAGCCCCAAAACCACCAAAACCAGATGGAGACCCCATCAGAGCCCCATACGGTGGATTTAGTCGTCCTTCAAGAACCCTCACAACAACGTATCTCCAAAGCCCAACTTCTCATTCTCTTTGTCATCGTCCGCTCCTTCCCTCCTCCTTTCCTGCCTCCTCCCTCCTCCTGCTTATCTTCCTCGTGCCGCATTCCTCCTCCTCCTCATCCTCCTTCTCTTCCTCCTCCTCTTCCTCCTCCTCATCCTTCTCCTCCGCCTCCTCTTCCTCCTCTCGTCCCTCTACCCCCGAGAGGGTCCCAGGAGGTCGAGCATGGCAAGATAGCCTCCGACAGACCTCCAAGAGGCCTCGTCACAGTTTCAAGATGGCTCAAGATAGCTGAGCATGATTCAAGATAGCCTCCGACACCCTCTAGCCGAGCGTGGCTCAAGATAGCCTCCAACAGGCCTGAAGAAAGCTTCGGATCGTGTCTGGATGGGCTGGTGGGATACGCGAAACGTCAAGAATGTGTTTCTGCCTTCTCGATCCTCTCCGCAATAGACGTCTGAATATTCGGTTGCAAGTCAGTCCTAGAGCATTGGATGTTATTCCTTAGTGGCCCGAAGGAGTCGGAGTGGGATGTTCCTTGGCTTAGCCTCTTTCCCCTTTCATCCTCATCGCCCCCTCCTCTATCGTCATCCTGCATAGATTCCTTCTCAGTCCTCCATCCTATTCCATCATCCTCACTCCCCCCATCCTTGCCCACTTCCTCGTTGCCTCGATCATCGCATTCTTCCCCTCTTCCTCGATCCTTCATCCTCTCCCACCCTCCTCCCTATTTTCGGCGTTCCGCATCCTCTATCATCTGTTCCCTTATCCCTTTATCTTGAGACCCTCCACGTCATGATTTGCTCAATACCGTCGAACCCTGGAGGTCTGGATCCCTTCCCGGGGACCAGCTTTTCACGGTCCCGAGGCCCAGTGGCCCTTGGGAGCCAAACAGCAAAAACTTTCCGCCATGCGCCAAGGGGTCTGGGTCCTTTTTTCTTCTTCACATCATTATCAGCAACATCAGCATATTCATCTTCGTCGCCACCATCATCACCACCACTGGCATCACCACCACCATTACCACCACCACCACCAGTACCATCATCATCAACATCATCATCACCACCGTCATCATCATCACCATCATCATCAGCATCATCATCAGCATCATCAACGTCAGCAGCAGCAGCATCAGCATCAGCATCGTATTCCTCCGTCTCTTCCGCCTCCTGCTCCTCCCCCTCCTCCTCCTCCTCCTCCTCCTCTTCCTCCTCCTCCTCCTCCTCCTCTTCACGTTGCTCATCCTCCTCCTCCCCCCCATCCTCCCACACCGCAAAGAAGGAGCGGGCCTGTTTAGCTTCGGCGCCTCCGCGCCCGCGGGCGCAGGCGCCCCCGGATGCCTCGCCGCGCGCTGCCCTTGCCCACCCGGTCCCTCTCGCGCGGCTCCACCGAGGGCTCGCTCTCGTCGCCGCCGCCGTCGCCGCCGATGTCGTTTCGTGCGTGCGTGCTCGCGTGCGTGCGTGCGTGCGCGTGTGTGTGTGTGTGTGTGTGTGTTTGTGTTTGTGTTTGTGTTTGTGTTTGTGTTTGTGTTTGTGTTTGTGTTTGTGTTTGTGTTTGTGTTTGTGTTTGTGTGTGTGTTTGTGTGTGTCTGTGTGTTTGTGCTCGTGCGTGCGTGCGTGCGTGCGTGCGCGCGCGTGCGTGTGTGTGCGTGTGTGATGTGTGTGTGTGTGATGTGTAGGTGTGTGGTGTGTGCGTGTGCGTGTGTGCGTGTGTGCGTGTGTGTGTGTGTGTGTGTCTGTACGTGTGTGTGTGTGTGTGTGTGGGTGTGGGTGTTGGTGTGTGTGTGGGTGTGGGTGTGGGTGTGGGTGTGGGTGTGGGTGTGGGTGGGGTGTGGGTGGGTGCGTGGGTGGGTGGACGTGGGCGTGGGCGTGTGCGTGTGCGTGTGTGTGTTGTGTGTTGTGGTGTGTGTTGTGTGTGTTGTGTGGTGTGTGGTGTGTGTTGTCTGGTGCGTGTGTGTGTGTGTGTGTGCGGTGTGTGGTGTGTGGTGTGTGTGGTGTGTTGTGTGGTGTGTTATGTACTGTGTTGTGTGCTGTGTGCTGTGTGTGTTGTGTGTTGTGTGCTGTGTGTTGCGTATGTTGCGTGTGTTGTGTGTGTTGTGTGGTGTTGTGTGTGGTGTGTGTGTTGTGTGGGTGGTTGTGTGTGCGTGTGTGTGAGTGTGCGTGCGTATGTGGGCATGTGTGTGCGTGTGTGTGTACGTGAATGTGCGTGTGTGCGTGTGCGTGTATGTGTGTGTTGTGTGTGTGTGTGCGGCGTGTGTGTGTGTGTGTGTGCGTGCTGTGTGCTGTGTGTTGTGTGGTGTGTGCTGTGTGGTGTGTGTGTGTGTTGTGTGTTTGTGTTGTGTGCTGTTGTGTGTTGTGTATTGTGTGTTTTGTGCGTGCGTGCGTGAGTGCGCGTTCGCGTGCAAGCGAGCGTGCGTGCGTGCGTGTGTGTGTGTGTGGGTGTGTGTGTGTGTGGGTGTGTGCTTGTGTGTGTGTCCGTGTGCGTGTCTGCGTGTGTGTGTCTGTGTGCCTGTGTGTCTGTGTGTCTGTGTGTCTGTGTCGGTGTGCGTGGGGGGGGAGAGGGAGAGGGGGGACAGAGGAGGAGGAGGAGGAGGAGGAGGAGGAGGAGGAGGAGGCCCGTAGCCATTGTGGCTCAAGGCGAAACGCTGTGAAGGACTATAGTCTCCCGAGGATCAGCGATTAGCTTTGGACTTCCTCCCCGCGGGGGGCACGAGCACCCCTTGGCCGCCAGGAGGCCACGGCGCGGGGCGCGCCATTCGGCCTCGGCCCCGCCCTCTGTTTCCTCTGCACCGCGGGGGGGGTCTCCTCCCTGCAGCCATGGACCACGCTGCTGGCCCTGGCCCCGCCGCCCGCGGCAAGAGGCCCACCCACCAGCTCGGCGGGGACAACTCCCGCGAGGCGCCGCCGAGAACCGCTGGACGACGGCATCGGGCGGTTCGAGAAGATCGAGGGCGAGGCAGACGTGGCGGGGCAGATGGACGCGCGGTCTCCTGGAGCCCGCGCCATGGGAGGGATCGTCGACCTGCTGCAGGACGAGGAGCTGCACCCGACGCTGGAGGGCGCCCGCTCGCCCAGTGTCCCGGGCATTCCCCGAGGTGACAGTGACGAGGGACCTGGAGGCCGTGCTGGCATTGGCGCCTCCAGCCCTCCTCGGCTCACCCTTGGGGTTTCCTCGGGGACGAAGGCCGCGGCTCGTGCGACGAGTGGCTCAGCCAGCTCTGCTGGCCTCGCCCGTCCCCTTCAGCAGGCAGCTGGCGTTCGTGGCGGAGCGGATGATGATCCTGAGCGCGCGCAGCTCAGGCAGTACGTTGACAAGACCAGGTCTGACGCCATGCCCAGCCTGGCGATCGCGCAGCAGTCTCTCTCTCGAGCCTCGGCCCGGCGATGGGGGGGGCACTGCGCGAGCGTCGACGGACGAATCGGTCGGGGCGCGGGCGTGCAAGGCGGGGCAACGGGTGGGCTTCCACGACACGGGGATCACCAAGCTCGAGGCGGAGCTGCAGGAGCTGCGGGACCTCCTCGGGCCCATGCGGCGCGAGGAGCCGCCGCGCCCACCAGTGGGCGCGGGCGGCTTTGACAGGGAGATCGACCCGACGATCATTGCGGCGCCGCATGCTCAAGTGCCACTACCGCGAGAGCAAGTCGCCAAGGCGGCGGGGCCATGACTTGCCGACTGCAACACGTCCCCAGCGGACTGCTCCGTGGAGGGCGAGCCTGCGGACAAGCGCTTCCAGGCTGTGGTCAAGGGCCAGAAGGCCTACGCGTCGAGGCGCGCGGGGCCGGCTGCGGGCGCCCCCAGGTTTCCTGGTCGAGGAGCAGTCTGGAGGAGGGTCACGGCTCCAGCGCCGATGGGCGGAGCCGACGTGGAGCTGTCGATCAGCACGGACAAGAGCCCGAAGATGGTGGCGAAGGAGCTGGGACGCAAGGAGATCCAGCGCCCCCTCTCGGCGCTGCATCCACAGCGTCGTTGTTCTTTGGTGGATAAAAGGTGGGTGGTCAGCTCGGGCTGACAGGAGCTGGTCAGCTTCGACCCTGCCCCTGGATCCCAGCCTCCGAAAACCCACTCCAGCGTCAAGAATATGGACGGCCCGTGCATGGACTCGGAGGCGATCCGCCGCGCCGTCGCCCAGCTCATCGAGCAGCCAGAGGCGACAATGCGGTGTCTTTCGCAGTCTCCTGCAGGCACGACAGGGGTCCTCGCCCCCCCGCTCGAGCCTGACGATCACGAGCTGGAACGCTCGAGCACTGCTACACCACGACCTGGGTCTCCGTGCGAAGAAAATCGTCTATCTCAGGAACCCCCCGTCCCCGCCCACCATCCTCGGGACCCAGGAGGCCCACGGGGCTCCGGCGGAGGCTGAGGACATGGTGCATCAGATCCATGAGCCAGTCAAGATGCGCCACTCCTTCTTCGACGGCGTCGAAGGCCTCGAGAGCGCGAATGTCGGTGGCGCGCGAACATTCTTTCCAGACTCGGGCGCCCAGGTCGCCTACCATCCGAGAGCATTGGCCCCAGGGGGGTGCTGAATGTGAAAATGGTTTTTGGCGAGCCAGGGGGCTGCTGGATTTCCCATTGGAACGTTCGCGACGTTGGTTCCACGAGGGATGAAAATCCCCAGGTAGCCAAAGCGATCGAAGAAGGCATGCACGAGGCGAAGCGCATATGATTCTGGCTGGTAGGGGGGGGCCAACGTCAGCCCGCACCCGCCTCGCCCGAGTCTGCCCAACGGAGCGAGGGGCCCACGCTCCCAGCCGAATTGCTGCTACCACGAGTGGCGCGCGAGCAAGGGCCACCCTGGCAGGACCCCTTTAGCAAGTGAGTTGAGGTGGAGCAGTCGGACCCGACCCACTACAATTTGAGCGACCAGTTCTACGACCCTCATAGATCGGATATGTGCGTCTCTCCCTGGGCGGGGCCTCATTCAGTTGAATGCCTAGGGCATGACGAAAGACCTGGCCTCGGACATCCCGGATCATGTCCCCATCTCGGTTGGCATCAAGAGTGCCCCGGGGGGGGGGCCCGAAGGATCGCCCGATCCCCGGGAGAATTTTCATCTCGTGCTACTTCCAGAGGTTTCATGGAGGCCCATCTTGGCGCGGTCTCTTGGGGGGGGCCTCTCGCCGCCGCTGAAAGTAGAGTCTCATAAGTCTCTCGTGGTGGAAGGCGCCAGGTTTGCACCCGACGCCATTCTGCATCAGGTCCCATCGTCGGGGCTTGCTCGCATCATCCTGCATCGCTCGGTCGCGCGAGCGGCATGGAGACAGGGCGCGATGCTTGGTTCTATCCTCGCGCAGGCGCATCCCGCTGCTCGTTCTTTGCTTGGCCTTGACGCGCGCAGCGGACGTCTTTGGCTTTAAGACCCCGATAGGTTTGCAGCGGGCCTGGGCCAGCTGCAATCCGCCGACCTCGACGCCCAGGTAGCCACCCTCAAGAGCAGCTCCGTGGAGGATACCCAGAGAAGCTTCGTAGGAAACGACGCCAACAACAACGGAGGCTTCAAAAAACGCGCTGCGATTTGGCCCCATTTGACAGGAGACTGTATTAGAAAGGGATCCGGTTAGTTGACGAGGTGGTTACGACGCCCGAATCTACGCCCACTGCGATCTGCAGCTACTGGCAAGATGTTTTTTGGCCCCAAAGCTGTTCTCCAGAGGCACGCAGACGCCTGCTTGGACCGATTTGGGGGTGGCACGGACGTCTCCGATGTTCCTCCTCCCTCGCTCGCTGGAGTACGGCAGAGGCTGCGGACTCTGGAGGCCCCCGCGCGCGGCTTGGCGATTCTCCCCCATGGCAGCGGAGCTGCTGGACGAGTATGCACGGTGGATTATGGATGGGAACTCTCCTCTCTCCAAGTTCAACTCCCTTCTCGGCATTTTTATTCCTCAGGGGGGGGGGGGGCGACGAGCATGGCGCTGTCCGCGACGTCAGTTCGCTGCGACCGCTCGGTTTGAAGAACTCGGAGAATAAGATTATCACCACCCTGATGGTGCGCCCTTTGTTTCGCTGAAGATGGCTGAAATAAGCTGTGGGCTCCAGAGGGGCTTTACCATCGGTCGGCAATTCGGGGGGAATGTTATAGGACTAAATACCCATGCCCGTCTCGCGTCGACGTCGGATGCCGCGGAGGAGGACCTTCCGCCATCCTCTCCTGCGACTTTGCCCAGGCGTTCCCCTCGGCCTTGCACTCTGGGACGATGAAAGTCCTTGGGTGGATGAACCTTCATGGGCCCATGTTATGGTTCTTCCTGGTCCTCTACTAAAGCGTGCAGCGTTTCGGTCCCCTGGGCGGCTCCACGGTTGGCCATTCTCGATCTGGTCTGGGATCATCCAAGGGTGCCCAGCGAGCGGTGCTCTTTTCGCAGCGAGTTCGAACCCTTTCCTGCTGGACTTTGAGACCAGATTCGCGGGCAGGCATAGGGGCGCCATCTTGCCTGCGCCGACGACCTAGGCGGTGCAATCCTGAAGCTACGGTGCATCACGGTGCTCTTTAGGATCTTCCAGTGGGCTGAGAAATTCGCGGACCTCATCCTGAAAACGGCGAAGTGCTTCATTACCCCGTTAACCGAGGGCATAAAAAACGCCCCGACCCTGGTTTACGAGGCGCTGTGCGCTGAAACTCCTGTGGGGTGTCAGGGTAAACCCTGCGTGATGTGCCCGGTCCTGGCGGCTCTAGGCTTTGGGGGTTCCCAGGAGGTTTACAGACCACGCACTTGGAACCCAGTGTAGGGTCGTTTTTGTCCCACCCCTCAAGTTAAGCGGCCCCTTCCCCGCCGAGCTGGCAGCAAAGTTTTCTGAGGCCCTCTCGGATCTGGTCCCTGGATGGGCCGCTGTTGTCGCGGCTCCGAATCTGAAGTACCTGGGGATGTGCGTGGGGGGCGAGCTCGCATGACAAATCGCGGCTCGGGCCTCCTGGGAAATGGCGCCCTCGGGGGCGCCAACTAGCAGGAGCCA